TCATAATTTCTTCATCCACGCTGTACGACTCATGCCATGTAAGCCAACCCACCTGCGGATCTTGTTCTCGGCCTCATCGCACAGATGTTGTCAAACCAGAAACAGTGTAGTAAACCTGGGCTTACGGACCGAAACTCTATCATTGCTCGATAGTTTCCAAGGCGAGAGGGGGAACGTGTCACGCTTCCCCATAGCCCGCGAGTCAAGCCATTGATCGTCATGGCCCTCTAATTAACAAGTTAATCTTCTTTGAGGCTATGCTTGGGGGATTTGCAAAAGCTGAAAAGGAAGACCACAACAAAACCTGTGGCTGAAGGTTGTACATGTGAGCTGTATCGTGTCATTGTTACATGGGGCGTTCGGACTATGCTAGCCGTGTTTCACGCGATATTCTTGGTAGAGTTCGACGGTTCGTGTTGGTCCTATGCGCGTTGTAACCCTTCAGGCTTCTGCATTGAAGAGACAGCGGCTGGAGGGTTTCGATATGAGCCACTGAACTCTCGTGAGAAGTGAAACGAAGTTAGAATATCCCCTTAATTTGGTGTTTTGTCGTTGGAGGGGTTGCGGGGGAGGGGATGTTCGTCAGTGGCGGTTGAGTTGACTTTGCAGGGCGCGGGAATACCTGGGGAATTGGAAGTTAAACTGGAGGTCGTTACCATTAGAAATCAGCCCGTTCTAAGAATATCGTGGGAGAGCTGCAAAGAAGAGAGGTGCAAAGGAGGTTGATGAGAGACGTCTGCGGTTGGGAGGGAAGTATGCTTCCGAGTGACATGCTTCGAGCGTTCCGACAGCCCGAGCTGGAAAATGCCGTTCTCTTTGTCTTGACGGACACAACGACCAGATCATACGTTTCGTCGAGCCTATGTTGGTACATTTGGCCGAGTGAATCTTGGCTTCCTGAAGGAGTATACACTGAGGCGCTGCAGAGGTGTGAGGCTATTCCCAGGCATTCAGCTCATGGAAGAAGCCGTCGTACGACATGGTCCCAAGACTTGCATAGCCTCAGTCATTGACATGTACGCCAAGTCACAATTGCGTGTCTTTTGAAGGGTCTTTTGGAGAATTGCGATCCTGTATATTCCCCTGAGGGAGTGAGCGTAAGACAACTTAGGATTGCCATTCGAAGGGGAAAAAAAAAGAATTTGATGGTTAATCATAGCTTTAGGCTAGTCATTATTGGTACCTAGGCGTTGTGTCAGAAGTCTTACTGCTGGAGAGCCCTCCATTGTGTATGCTGAGCTGCTCCCCTGAATGAAGCGACAGTCACGTAACTCCTCAATATGACTTGGCCTGCTAGGTGCCCCCATAATATAGATTAGCTCTAAAGTTCTAGTACTCGATAAGATAGAGACTATGGCTATCATGTAGGCTTAAATCATCTCCCGAAGCAATGCCAGAGTGTTACACGTCCACGAGGATTTGAGACACTTTGATCAGGAGCGTGTGCAATCATTCATGGCCACCCAATGAAGAAGAAAAGAGCCTAGAATGAAACTGTATTTCTTGTAATATGATTGATTCATATAATACAGGCCTGAAGACCTTTGTACGTGCTGATATCAACGAGTGTCATAAGAGCTTCAGGGGAGGAGGATTGCAACTTGAGCATCACGCATAAGCAACTGCCTATAATGCCCACGGACTTTGGTAAAGAGTATAAGAAATAAGCTTAGATAATCGTGTAAGCCTGAATTTAGTAGAGGATTCCGATGCAAATCATGATCGAGAAGAGTCTCCTGGATGCTCCTCAAGGAAGAGCTCGACGCAAGGATGGTCACCGTGACCAATACCTGCGATTTAGCAAGAAAATACGTTCAAACTGGAAGAGATACCAACTCGAATAGATGTGAATTTGTTTTTAAAGCTAATCTCGGGTGTAGTTCAATAGGAACGCATTCCAAGTGCAACCTGAGCCCCCTTTTACAGATAGTATACTTGACACGAACTCATCTCCACGGCCACAGTGCCGGAGTCAGCAGCGGCAATCTCAATACACATGCGACGGCGAGGGTATAAACATGAATGGAGATGGAGAAGCGAAGGTAAGCGCACCATGGGTGTCGAGGCAGACCGAAATGGTACCAGCTGGGTAAGAGTCTTGAGAGACACGCTCCCCAACTTCGAGAGCATCGTCGAGTGACTATCATAGGCCCATTACTATCTTCGACGCTTGCTAATACAAGATTATACGCTAATATCAACCCCTCAGGTGCAGTCAAGAAACTCCAGGGCTTCTATCCTAAGTGACAGGAGGTTCTGGTGAAGTTGGTAGAGTTTATACAATTGAGTATAGATTTTAGTAGACTCTAGATCAGGAGCTTCTGGAACCTCAGCTTGCTCTCTGTGTCCATGCTGGTCCGAAACTAAGCAGTCACCACTTCGTGGTCCTCCTCCGACTTCCTGAAAGCATCCTGAAGGGGTATCTCTGCTAAGGGCACGACCTTTGTCTTCTTGACAAACTTCCATATCAAGTACGCTGCGGTAACGAGAGGGATATCCCTACAGAACGATTAGTATGGGAAGAGATTTGGTCTCTGGTATCGGGACCACTTACAAATAAGATGACACAAAGCCAACCGGATCCCAGTTACCCCTGGTAAAGACACGGAATCCGCCCGTGAGGAGGATGAGCAGTGTCATGAACAAGCCGGCACACGAAGAATAGACTACTCTGATGTTAGGTAAGCTTCTATAACTTTAGGCTCACACTTACAAGTCCAAGAGTTGTGCCAGGGCAGTTTTTCGATGGGAATTCCTTGCTTTTTCATCGCAAGGCGTAGACGAATGTGGTTCAACAAGATCGATGCCCACGAGATCAGGACTCCCGCCGCTGTTAGGTCGACTAACCACCAGAAAACAGTCATAGCTCCGTTGGAGAGACTCATGAAGCTGAGGAACATGAAGCAGGTGAAGAAGAGCACGCAGACATAAGGCACACCCCACGCGGTCGTGCGGAGGAAGATCTGAGGTGCCTGTCGCTTGAGAGCCAAACCATAGAGAACACGGGTACCGGCGAGAAGACTCTGATTTGAAGCAGACCACGCGGAAGTTATGACAACGGCGTTGACGACGGAGGGAATCGCAGGGATGCCGGCCGCGGAGGCTGCGATGACAAAGGGGCTTTGACCTGCGGCTCCGGACTGGTCGTTTAGTCTCTCGTCGTCGCTTCTCACAAGCATACCGACAATGAGAATGGCCAAGATATAAAAGACCAGAATTCGGATGAAAACGTTCTTGCAAGCCTTGGGGATCGCGCGCGCAGGATTCCGCGTTTCGGCTGCAGCCATGGCAATAGATTCCACGCCTGCGAAGGAGAAGACGGCGCTGGTCATAACAGACCAATAACCAAGGAACTGGCCCCAGCTCCCTGAAGCGATGTATTCAACAAAAGGTCCTGGGTCCTTCCAGTACCTGAAGCCAATGCGTTCTGTGCCTGGGACGCCTCCCAAGTTGATAACCAAACCCAGGATAATGAGGAAAACGACCAAGAGGATCTTGAGAAGGGCAAACCAGAACTCGACCTCGCCGAACACTCGGACGAAGCAGAGACCGACGACTGTGGTGAGGACGATGAAGATCATGATCCATAGCGAGGGATTGATATCGGTCCAGAACTCGAACAATACACAGATGGCCGTGATTTCTGAAGGGATCGACAGAATGTTTCCGTAGACCAGATTCCATCCGATTGCGAATCCCCAGGCGGGATCAACAAGAAATTCAGCATGTCGCACAAAAGCTCCTGTCACCGGCAACAGCGCAGCGACTTCTCCCAAGGCGAATTGCACGGCGCAAACTACGAGACCGACAGTTGCATAGCCAAGCAGCGCGCCGAGAGGACCACCAGTCTGAACAGACTGGCCCAGACCGAGAAAGAGACCTGTACCGATAGCGCCAGCAATACCCAGCATAGAAAGATGCCTCTCGTGCAGACCTCGCTGGAGGCTCTGCTCCTCGGTGGCCGTCACAAGATCGCCATTGTTGTCGTTCCTTGCCTCCACGCCCATTGACGGGCTTGCCTTTCCACCAGCAGCAACAATGTCGGCGCTCATCTTGACGCCTCCCGATCTGGTTGGTGATGAAGATATTTGATAAGTGTTGATCGTGGTCTTGGCGGAGAGAAGTCTTCTATTTACGAGCTCAGGGAGTAAGAAAACTTGTGATATTAAACCAGGGTGCCAAAATAAACCTGTCTAAGATCTTGCAAAGATCTACTAGACTTGCCTAGATCTTTTCATCACCTCCCTTTGCGAGGCGAGAAATGTCTTATCGACGCCATCACTTGAGCCAATGGTGCAATCTGAGATTGACTGGGGGGCTTCGGACAGTCAGATACGGATACCGGCAATATTCTTCATGGTTGCGGATGTGATTGCTCTTTTGATCTATGGCGTGGTTGAGGGAGTGGGTTGGGACTCCATTTAATTGGAATTTTGCAAAGTCTAATCCTTCTAGAATCTGGCGATCTATCTATCGACACGCTAAGTTAAAGCTACTGTACTTCTGCCTACCCTACAATACCTGAGATGTGATGCTCAACTTCATATTGGAGGAGCATTAATAAGGACAGCTGATAGCTATTCAGGCCTGTTCATGAATCGTAGGATAACGTGCCATAGCGGAGATAATGTGGAAACAAGCATTGATCCAGCTCTCGATCGCTTCTTGTTAGCACAGCTATTCCAGCCGTAGATCATCATCAAACATCCGAGTTGAGCTGCAAGTAACAACTTGTCGACTTTTCTTTTCACAGGAACATCCAATGATTAAGCTTGCAGCAAGGAATAAATGTATACTTTTAATACTGTTCTACTAATTTATATCTGCCCAGAAGCCTTGTTTCATTTTGAACTGCACAACAAAAAAACCAAACACACGCAGACAAAAACCAAGAAACCCAGCACTACCTACAGGAGAATCGGAATCTTACGTTTTCCGGTGGGCTCTGGCCCTTTCCCCCGCATGCTTTCGATAACCTCAAAGGCATTAAGGCCTGGCTCGCAGGTGGTCTTTGGTAGAGGTAGCTCTCCAGTGGTGAAATATCTCCTTACAATCTCCCCGATGCGAGGGCATCCATAGGGGCTGACGCTAGAGGCATGCTATAAGTTTCTGTTAGTATCACCATCAATTCAGGACTTGGTATTATACTAACACCAACACCTCCACCAACAACAAGCTGGCTCCCAGGAAATCGCGCAGATATCTTCCGGGCATGACCCAGGGGAGTGATCGGATCGTATTTTCCGTTGATGAGAAGGATTGGGTTCTTTGTCTCGACTCTTGAAAGGCTTGTAAGATTTATCGGCTCAGCTGCGTGTATCCACTGAGAACACACCAAGCGAGGGAGCAGGGCCGTGAGGTAGAAAGGGTTATCAAGGGCCTGATCGCCTTCGTGTAAAGGAGGAAATTTGAGAAGTTCCTCAACAGTTTCAGGACGGAAAGTTGTATCACTGCACCAGGTCGATAGATGGGCAAGTTCGAATTGGGGGTTCCATGGAGTTGCTGATTTTGCGAGGGGATCAAGATCAACCTGGGGGCAATTCGAACGATTGCCGTCCAAAGCGGTAGCGATCAGTTCATCCATCATGTAGTAACCTTGAAGACCGTAGAGAGATAAGAAAAACCAGGCATTCAGGGGGAGTGATTTAAAGCGGCGTAAACCACCCCCAACTCCTGTGCAAACCATGAAAACACGATCGAGGACCTTGAGGAATTCATCTCGGTTTTTGGGAAGCTTGGTAGCCGAGTGACATGTATTATTTGGAGCTGCCATGCACAAGTCGTAGAAATGATACAAGGCCTTCCCGGCATCTTGGGTCGCGTGGGCGCCGAGGTTCTTAACATAGTCGTCGGCGAGCAGGTTGCCTTCGAGAAGCATGCGTTCAATACGGTCAGGAAACATACTAGCCAGAACCTGACCTAGGACCGTGCCGTACGACATACCCCAGTAGTTGATGCGGTTGCCTTCACCTAATGCCGTGGCAATTTCAGCGATATCTCTGGCGACGAATGCAGTGCCACGGAACCTCCTAAGATCCGTGTCCTTTGCAAGGAAAGATTCCGTGAAGGTGCTCACATAATCCCAAGCATCCCTGAGTGACTGTCCGGTCTCGAAATCTGACGAGTTCTGAAAGGCGTAAAAGAGCTCTTTGAGCATTTGCGACGGAAATCCTTCACCACTGGGCGGCACCAATGTCTTACCAGTACCACTAATTCGAGGTTAGATTTGACTTCACCTAACTTGAAATAGCTGGGATATCACTTACCGTGGATCAAAACTGATTAAGTCGTATTGTCCGCCAACAAGCCTGCTGGCATCCTCGCGGGTGTAAGCTCTCAAGTCGTCGATTCCGGAAGCACCTGGACCACCAAAGTTGAGGATGATGCTGCCTTTGGGCGATTTCTCGGTCGCTTTGAGCTTGATTAAATTCAAGGTCGTAGTGTTGCTGCTGTATTTGCCTGTATAGTCGAGAGGAACAGTGAGATTACCGCACTCGAATGCCTCGTTATTTTCCAGATCCCCGTAATCTTCCAGATTCTTGGAATCTTCCACATCGTCGCTATATTCCACATCCTTGTAGTTAAGTAGGCGCAGGTTGCACCGGGTCCATCTGATGCTATTGTTGGGGGAGATGTTGTGAACGTCTCTGGGAGTATCAGGAGCGTCATCTTTGGGCAGAAATGTAGCATGTGTGCAGTGCAGGAACAGGAACAGGTGAATGGGAATAATGCTTATGACCTTCATGTTGAATAGGGAGGGTGAAGATGTGATGCTGAGAGGGTGGTATACTGAATAACGTTGACAAAACGATGAAAATGTGCGGGTTGTTAATGATTGAATGGGTTGAGAGATGTGTGTAAAGGTCCAAGTTTGTTTACCAGGTGTCTGACTTGAAGTTGTTTGACTCCCAGCATGACAATGATGGAAGGGGCCAGCAACAAGTTACGTCAGCCGCGACGATGAGTTCGGAAGGAGTTGAACACTCTGCCTCCTCTAATGCCTAGAAGCCCTTGGGGAGTTGCGACCGCGGCGCCTGAAGAGTAGCCCCTTAGCTTCCAAGCATTTGAAAGCATCAGACATTAGAGCACGCAACCCAGATAGATACAGAATGATTGAAAGCAAAAGAAAAGACAATAAAAGAAAAGAATTCGGGACTTTCTTAACGAGAATTCGTACAAATGCGAGGATTCGAGTTGGCCCAAGCTTCATCAAATGTGCTTATGGTGAACCCCTTTCCGTTTAACTCGATATCGTACCAATACTAATGACAATGGTAGGAAGCACGGTCGGTGTCAAGCTACTCCCACTTTCGAGTCAAGGAGGGATCAGATCTGGGAATGGGCGAGATGGAGCCTTCCATAATTCCGCCTTGGTTTTGTGCCTTCAGGTCATGTACGGGTAGGTACCTTAGGTACCTAGTATTTGGTAGCACGAAGCCTGGGCTGGGACAGGCGGAAGAAACTCACGGGCCAAATGCGTCGTTCGTCTCCAGCTGTGAAATATCCTTCAATCACTACAAGCCAGGCTTCGTCTCATTGTCTCCTTGTAGTCCACAACTTCTTTCCGATTTGACCCACGTGCTTCAACAAAAGAACCTGGCACATCCAGGATATCTGTTGAACCCGACCGAGAGCAGAGCCACGGTGTCTGTTGATTGCCACACAATACCTTCGCAAGCCTACAATAAAGGACTGACATACAGAATCCATTCTTCACAGGAACTCTGTGTTTGATAGAGATCAGAATTGAAGATCTCATCAAGTCCCGTTGCACCACTGAGCGCTCACGTATCAATTGTGTAGGAATGGGATGGCGATTAAAAATGTAACTAATGAGAAACTCTGCTGCGGGTCTTTTCCAAGAAAACAAAGTTGACAGAACAACAATCTTTCATGAAGAACCTGCAAGTCATCTATTCCAACACTTGAGTTGTAAGCTTGTCTTGCGTACAGACTTCTCCGAAGCTTAGTCCGGAACCGTTGGTATTGCCTCCACTGGCGAATAGACATTTCCCTCCCGACTTTCCCATCCACTAAACTCCCTGGACTTGCAAAAATCCAGCTGCGAGGCCACGAGCCAAAGGCTGCTGGGAGAGATCCATGTTGCATGACCTAAACCTCAGGCTCATCATCATACGACCAAAATATACCATGCTGAGACTTCTCATCCCAGAGCCCCGAATCCTCTACCTCGTCATTGAAGGCCATTTGAAGCCCGCTGCCTAATGTGAAAACGCAGCATGACCTGCAAAATATTTTCAGCTTGTGGAATCACAAGTCAGAGGGTTATACATACACCGCAGTTGCGACGCCAAGGAATGTCTTTACGCAGCCAACAAGCCCACCGAAGGGGACAAGACAGAGACCCATGTTTGGCTGTGTATAAGCTTTTCAGATTGGAGAGGTTCGACAGTGGAGAGGCCGAAATTCGTTGCATGGGATGGTGTAGATGAGTGCGGGTTTCGAGCGCAATCGCAAAGGGAATTTGTGTGTCGAGAGGTGATTGCTCGGAAGGAAGAGAGAGGCATGAGGGTTTATACTTACTTGAAGCCTGAAGATAAAAGTTTTACACGTTGGGGGAGAAGTTTTCAGAACAAAGGTCTTCATATTAGTGTTTAACGACGGAAAGCCAAACGGATCAAACTTTGCATTCTGTTTATCAAGGACCGCAGTTCTGTAGAGAATTGGCTGAGTTATTTCGAAACTCACTGCCATGTCGAACAAAGAGTCACAGGACACACGCATATTGAGAGAAAAAGCACTCTATTTGAAGACCCTGGCGTATCCCTATGCTGTCTTGTATTCCGAAATGCTGATGATCCAGAGCGCCGGGCCTGTTTATAATAGAAAGTCTGAGGGGCAAAACCTCTACTCTGTTGTATAAAAAGAGTTCTTGAGCGACGGCTCAGGATGGCGAAGATGGATCTAATGCTCCGTTCAAGGTCTTGCAGATCTCCCAATCTACCCACCGAACGCCTCTAAGCGTAACTCTGACGTCGCTATGCAGTCAATGAAAGACAAAATGAACGATAAAAAGAAAAAAAAAGGAAGAAAAGAAAAGGCCGTGGCCTCATCCACCCAGTGTCGTGTATGGTCAAGAAGAAACTCTATTGGCTAATCACTCGCGATGCTCGTGAGGCTCATGCGATTCGTGAGACTGGGTGATAGTTTCAGCGCCCAATGACTTCTCTGTTGGCAAGACAATAGCTCGGTCCAAGGCATAGGGAAGTCCACGATGGCGCCCACGAATCATCATGGCGCAGATGATGAGTTTACTGAATGTCGAAAACTCGGTGCAAAAGGACGAATTGATGGTAGGATATCCTAAACTCAAGCCGACATTACAGCTACATCACGGTTAGCTCTGACGATCATGATGAAGGGGCCCTTCCTTACTATGCTGAAACGCCCTCGAACAACATCGGCCACATTGTAAATGCCTATTATGGTGAGCGTTGTAGCCAATGCACTGCGGAGCCATACTCACCGGATCATTGCCGTCCATGATCTTCTTGTGCTCAGCAATAGAGATACACAAAAGCCCAAGACAGATGTACCACAAATCGAAACTCAGCTGGTTCCGGAGATGGGTTACAAAATATGAGCCACCATCTTCCTCATCATATTGTAGACTATGCTCGTAAATGCCCAGAGAGCGCTCCTCATAGGTATTTGAAGAACGGACGACGATTGAGATGGGGTACACGGAGATATACATCATGATGAGCAAAGCCATTTGCACAGCCGGGTTAACATTGGCAAGGTTGAAACTGGCTGTACCAGTGTGTCGAGAACTAACAGCCTGAAACACAGCGGCGCAGAACCTCTGCCACCCAGGAAGTACCGTCACAGTCGAGTTATCCAAATCCAGGAGTATGATGAATAGAACATCAACGAGATTAAGGAGGGCAAGAATACCGAAAAGTGCCCAGGTTGGTCCACTGGGGAAAAGAAGGGTATAACATCGCCGTGGGTGATTGAGAAGAAAGTGTAGCGGCTCCTGAAGGGAAGACTGCTTCGAGACGACCTTGGAGGTAGCCCAAATGACAAGCCGGAGGAGGACAGGGTAAAAGGTGTGGCCAGCAAGGGCGAGGGCGCTCATGATGAGAAGGGGAGCTGGGGCGTCATTGAAAGATATCATTGAATCGGGAGTCAAGGTAAAACCCAAGTTAGTGATCATGGTTTGAGCAGAGTACACTGCCCTAGACAAAATGTGAGAAGGATAGAAGCCATAACCAAAGAGGAAACTTACCACCAAATTCGATTTTGCCCGCACTTGTCGATGTACTCAACGTACTTTTTAGGAGCATTCTGAACCCATGCTATCAAGCAGACAGCCCCGAGGCAGTGAAGAAAAACATAGTAGCCTGTAGAGATTAGCAGGTTGTCCCTGGCCAACCGCCCGAAGACTTACCAATGATTATCTTGAGTAGGAGCTTTAGGCTTTTGTACTCGATACCACCCAGTTCCTCCCGGTCCTTAGACGACAAGTTATGAAAGATGGAGTTACGCCCTATGGTTACCTCTCGAGATAGTCGGGGAAAGTCACCCACGGCAAGTGTTGGTGCCCTGGCTAGCGGACGCTCCTTAGGCGCTTGAGTAGGATTGCCAATAACAAAGAGTGACGAAGCAACGTTGGCGACGCGCTCGACGGAGCGGACTTTAGCCAGACTAAGGCCCGCACTACGTCTACGGCGAAGGATACCAATCGGGGTGGACTGAGTTCGCGAAATAGGTTCAATAACGTCTTCTAGAAGGAGGGCTTAGCTCAAGTCACATGCAACACATGCAGCAACAGACAGGGATCGCACCATCTCGAGTGTCTCGGCTGAACCGTCGCTCAGTATTTAGCTCGACAAAAGGAAGACCTAGATACGTCAGTTGGTACGAGGAAAGGAGCAAATAGTGGCGTACCTTGGTCTCGAGCGCGAGGACCGGGGATATAGAGAGTCGACTCCTGCTGTTCATGGCGAGGATGGCGATCGGTCGAAGGATCAAAAGTGATTCTCGTTTCGTGCTGGTCTTCCTCTTTGACCCTCTCTTCCTTAATTGTGGGTGAAAGAATGTCTACCGGCCGTTGTTGGGTTGGATGATCAGGAGCTGGATCAGTCCGACTCCGAGCCTCGATTGGCGGGAGTGCATCCCGTTCCGCGGCATTCTTATGTACGCGTTCTGTCACAGATCGTGCAAGTCCCGGTCTTTTGTCAAGTACTTCTGAAAGGGGATTATCAGCTCCATTTTCTGGATCCTCCTTAGGATCTAGATCCACTGGTCTGCGTCTGCTGAGCAGAGCAGGAGCTATATGGCGAAACGTCAGCAGTGGCCGCCAAGTAAAGGCGAGAACGAACTGACCAGCATTCTTGAGGTATCTTCGGAACCAGATAAGGCGAACGACCACGACTATAATATTGATTGTCACAAGGTTGCAGACTAATGGCACGAAGTACAGAAACAACTGCTGGTATGTCTTCAGTACAGGAACATCGACTCTGTAATGAAAACGGTTAGCACCGTTGAAGCCCACAAAGTGTGGTGGAAAGTGGCTCACGTAGTTAAACCGGTAACGGTCGAGGCGCTAACGCCAAAGAAATAGGCATCGATTGCACTCAGCTTGCCTTCCGGATAGATGAACAAGAAGCTCGACAGACCCATGCAGATGATGTAGATGTCTACGTGCCGCCAGGTAGCGTTGTCAGCCGCATCCTTTCAGCACCTTGTCACTAGAGCGGCACTCACAGTGTATTTTGACAAAATTGAGATTTGGGCGCCACATGTTCGTCTGTTTGGCGTTGATACGCCGAAGACGATGCCCCAGTGCGAAGGTGTTTCAGGGCTGTTTGCAACTTGAACGGGCGTAAGGTCTGGATGTTCTGTGCCGTTTTCCGAGGAAAGTAATAAAAGTGAGCGAGCAGGTTGCAGACCAACTCGTTTGAGCAAGAAGAGAGTGCGAGCAGGCAGTGTTTGAGCGAATTATTGCCAAGCCGAGGAGCCGGGATGCCAGCTGTGAAGGCATCTGCAATAGCGGAAGTGGTGCATTGACAGTAGAACCCGGCGAGCTAACGCAGTGGATGTAGGTGGCCACCACAATTCGCTGGCAATAGACGGGACATTGTCACGGTATTGTTAAGGAAGAACCTCTCTGCCTGGGGTAGCATCCGGTAGTCATCGAGCATGGCCGATAAGAACCGCAGCTCTTGCAGGGGAATGGCGGTAAGGGACCCTGAGGGTATCATGGACGAGGCCTTGCGATACCTGATTTGGCTGATATAACGTCACTTGCAGGCCGTTTCAATGACAGCAGTTGGGTGCTTTGTTTGATGAATCCCTGATTGGGCTTTAGGCGGTGGCAGTGCAAGATTAGCTGGCTAGGGGAGGAAAGAAAACTCAGGACCTTAACCCTAAGTGATAAAAATATTTAGGTAAGTCTTACCTAAATTTAAGGGACTCTTTACTAAGTTCATTTTGACACCCTATATCAAGGTTCGATATTTTCTTGCCCCCCAAGGGCTGGGTCTGCATCACATGCCTAAACTTTTAGGGGTAAAGAGATAACTTTATAGCGGATACAGTTGCAGGGAGGTATATCTAGCGCTGTTGTTTAATTGAACGCATCGTATTTTATGTCGGCTCCATGCATCAACACATCTGGGGATCGTTAGTGAGTAACTGTCCCAATGGAGTACACAGGACGTGGGCATGAATGTGAGGCTGGGGATACCATCCATGCCTGAGCCATGTTGCTTTTGTCATCCATGTCTTGAACCTCGAAAACAAATCTTAATACTGAAACATTAACATTCGAATCGAGGTTGAGACGATCAAGAAGATTAGAGATTGGGATGGATGTCAACGCTAAGCTCAAATGCCAAGCGCCAAGATCAGATCAACTGCAAGTGCTCGTGCGAACAGACAGGGAAGACACATTATGTCATTCCTCATCGAAAAAGTGGAGATGCACTCTAATCGCGCTCACGAAGCGCGTCGCAACACGAGCTTTGGCTTGGGTCATACATCATCATGCAAATCGAGTAAACAACAAAACAAAATTCAACCTCAATTCTCATTCTCTTCTCGATAAGTCAATCTCTTATCAATGACCCATCTACAGCTTCACCTTTAGCAATGGATTACAACTTTGGCCAGGACGCCCCCTCCGGCTCTGGCTCCGGTTCCTCAAACTGGCTTGGATTTGGTCAGCGCGTAACTGTCGCTTCTTCGTCCCCTGGTGTGCCCAACACCATGCCCGAGGCTGATGATGCCTCTTTTGCCGAATCATATCGCCCAGAGGCTTCTCCTTTATTCAATCCTCTTTTCATGCCCCGAAACCCGGCTCCTGAAGCTGCACCCTCGAATGCTTTAAGCCCTGGTCCTCCTCCCAGCTGGCCCTGGCAACGCGATGCAACCTTCAACAGTGACGGTTTCGACTCCCCCGATGTCTCTGCTCTCCCCGAACAGCCTTCGCGTTACTCTGAATCCCCCGAAGATGATACGCCACAAGAGTCCGCTATCGTTGAGGAACACACTGAAACTCATCATGTTACTTCCCCCGAACGTGCCCCATTCTCGCCGCTGCGCGAATCCGCTGCAGGTGCGCAAGAGAACTCGATCATTCAGTCAAACATCACCGAAGAAGCGATCACGGAGGCAGGCGCGGACCCCGTTGTTGAGGAGTCACGCATTGAGATTTATGAGCACACGGAGACCATTGTACAGTCCTCAGAAAAGGAGCCTGAGGATTTGCTTTCTCAGCAAGAACCTGACAATGTTGTTCAAAATGGTGAGGCCGATCGCGTTGAGGAAACACCTACCCAGACACCCATTGAGCAAGCTGCCGATGGCCAGCAAACCCCAGCGCAAAATCAATCCAAATCACCAGAAATTGCCTCAGCCCCTGCCACAGGACCCAGTTCTCTTAAGAATGCATTGCTTTCAGTTGGCAGAGGTATCATGAAGCGTATGTCAGCGCCACCTCCCGCAGTTGTGGCGACACCTCAACCAGAAGACTCTCAGAATCGAAGAGCTACCTCGACACAATTAGAACAACAGACCGAAAGAGCTGGTTCTACTCCCTCACTAGTCGTTGAACTGAAATCAATGTCAGAGCCTGAAAAGGCAACATTCACTTCCCAAGCTCCTGCAGCAGAGGATGGACCATCGCTTGATGAAGAACCTGTTGTACCAGCATCCGCAAAGCGGAGCCGACGAAGCACACAGGCGGCTGTGGAAGAGGCTTCGGGGTCTGCTACAAAGCCCACTCGTGGCCGCCGAAGCATTGCTTCTGCGCCAGTTTCACCCGCGGTTAAGAACGCTCCTCCGTCAGCCCAGAAACGAGCCCGCAAGTCCATGCCTGCAAGTGTTCTCTCAGACCAGACCCCCAAAAAGCGAGGACGCCCACGCAAGAGCGATGTTGTGGCCACTCCAGCCGCGCCCCCAAGTACCGCAAAGAGAGGCCGACCCAGAAAGTCAGAAGCCACTCCAATCGCTGTCCCCAGTGCATCAAAGCCCTTGTCTGCCAGAGGCCGTCGTGTTGCCAGTGCTAGCAAGGCTGTAGCAACACCTCGAAGAGCTACGACCACCCGGACACCTAAGACGGCAATTGGACTTCGCGCTGCAGCTACGCCTACGACAACACCAAAGCCACGCGGCAGGCCACCGAAGAACCCTCCTCAGCCGACAGAAGAGGAGGAAGAAGTCGAGCCAGAGGTGGAAGCACCCAAGCATGCTGGTCGGGCAAAGCGAGGTGCCGACTCGACTGACGATGCTCCCGCCACAAAGAAAAGCACACGCACAGTCAAGCCACGCACAGTTCCCTCCCCAGCCAAGCGAGGCCGGGCTACAAGAAAGACTGCTGCTTCCACTCCAGCGGAGAAGGCAGAACCTACCACAAAACGTGGTCGCCGACCTGCAGCTGCGCCCAAAGAAGAGGAGCCCACCGAAGCTCCCAAAAAACGTGGTCGTCCTGCTTCCAAGACTGAAGCGCCCGCAGGTGAGGAGTCTGCTCCAGAGCCCAAGACGCGAAAGCGAGGTCGTGCTGCAGCTGCCGAAGACACCACGGCTGAAGAGCCGGCTCCCAAGAGACGTGGCCGTGTTGCTAAGTCTGCCCCAGAGGAAGAACCAGCACCGGCTCCTAAACGACGTGGAAGGGCGGCTGCCTCAAAGGCCGTCGAAGAGGCCGTGAGTGAGCCTGCACCTACAAAGAAGCGTGGAGCTGCCAAGACCGCTACTAAGTTGGCCGAGAATTCTGCATCTGGGCCCGAGTTGGCTCCCAAGAGACGAGGACGTGCAGCTGCCTCAGCCAAGGCCGCTGAAGATGTTCCTGCTGAGACCGCCACCACAAAGCGTGGACGTTCTAAACGCACAGCACCCGAGCCTGAGCCTGAAGTTGAAGCACCTGAGCCTGCGACCAAGAAGCGACGTACAACACGCAAAGCCGAGGAGCCAGTTGTTGAGGAACCAAGCAAATCTACAGGCCGAAAGACAGGACGGCGTACAAAGGCTGCCAAGGAAGTTGTGGAAGAGCCCGCACACAAGCGTGGCAAGTCTACTCGCTCCAAGGCCGCTGAACCTGAAGAGTCAAAGCCTGCTGCCAAGCCTCGTGGTCGAGCTGCCGCGAAGAAGGCACCAGAGCCTGCTGTCGAAGCCGAGGCGGAGGCCGTATCAGAGAAGCCCAAGGCTCGTGGACGGCCCGCAAAGGGAAAGTCCGGAAAGGGAGAGCTCCCAAGCTCAAAGACGGCTGAAGCTCCAGCTCCAAAGCGGGGGCGAGGGGCAGCCAAAGCCACAGCCACCAAGGCCAAGGGCTCTGCTCCTACAGGCGTGACCAAGACGGGGAGAGCAGCACAAACTGGTGTACGAAGAGGACTGCGATCAAGGGGCTGAATTAATTAATGTCTGATATACACATGCAAAACTTTTGTTTCGGCGATAAAAGGATGGTAGGGTGGACATCTGGTTTTGAGGTTTATTGTAAATTACTGTATTCGGGACGAACAGGCATGGGTTAGGAACGGAACGGATCATTACGAATGCACTTGTATGGAGTACATGGAATAGCAACAAGTTTACATATCTGCTTCTGGTTCATCTGTGATGAAAGTGCTAAAGAAGCGCCACATTTTCGTGGACTTGTGAGGTAACAAAGCATAACATAGCAACAGAATACAACCATCAACCTCCAGGCTGGTATCTTGAAAACAAAAGAACGAAAACACCAAATCACTCGTAAAGATCTCTATCGACATCGCCATCCTTGTTGGAATGGGGGCTTGTCACCTTGATGCCATTCTCCAATCGCGACAGCGTCATGACATACCCCTTGTGATCGCACCAGCTGCGTACCATCTTGATAGCTGTCTTGATCTCTCGTCCATTGAGTTGCCAAAGTGACAACTCGCGGATGTCCTCGTCATCAAGCGGCTTGTCTCCATAGGCTGCGGTGATCTCTCCTCCAGCATTGTCGTCTGTGCCGTCGTTCCTAGGCGTGGTGGAACCCGTAGCAGGAGATTCATCGGTGACATCGGTGGCTCGGTTGCTGTCAGACAGACGTCGGAGGAACTTGCGCCAAACGGTCTCGCGAGCCTCACGGGTGAGAGACTTGAAGAGGAGATGCAAGCTGACTCGGCTGCGGAACGCAGTATCGATGGTATGATACAGGTTAGTGGTCAGAAAGATGATGCCGCGATAGTACTCGAGCTCGCGAAGAAAGATGCTGACAAGTTCATTGCGATGAATGTCGTTGGGGTTACGCTCTGCCATGAAGACGTCCGCTTCGTCAAGCAGGATGACAGCGTTCCACTCGGTAGCCATCTCAAACACTCGCTTGATGTTTGCACCCAGAGCGGCAGCATTAATACCGAGATCCTCAGCCTGCAAGTAGAAGAGGGGACGATGGGAGCGATCCGCAATCGCTTCGGCCATGAGGGTCTTTCCTGTTCCAGGAGGGCCGGACAGAAGCATGATAAGACCTTGTCCCTTGCCGACAATTACATCTTCCATAGCCGTGTTGGGGCCGTTGGCGAGACTGTGATTCTCAACGAACGACAGCACCAAATCCTTCTGCTGCTCGTCAAAGACGAGGTGGGAGTAGGCTTGATCGTTCCAGACAATCGGCTCAAGATCTTCAACGTAGAAGAAAACTATAGATTGTTAGCACAAGCACAGCCCATCAGAAATCAGCGATCTTACCCCAGAGTTTGTTCTTCAAAGCGTATCCACCGATGAGCTCGGTCATGAATGCAAGATCCTTGGGCCTCTTGAGAAGCTCTTCCTTGTTCTTGGCCTGGTCACCCTCATTGAGTCTCTTCTGCTGTGTCTTGGGATGTTTGCCCTCAGGTTTGGCTTCGGCGAGATCCTGTTTACGGCGGCGGTTTGATACATCGACCAACTCAATCTCTGGGTCCTTGTTCTCGCGCTTTCCTTGGGCAAGATGGTATTTGTTAAACCCGACCACGTCGACTAGGACACGACACTCCACGTTGTGCTTCTCAACACTCTTTTCTTTTGCGTGTATAGCAATGCCGTTGTATGAGCAATACGCCAAGCCCTGTAGGTCAAGAACCTTGTGACCCCGAGATAACAAGCGCTGTTCAATGGCATCTTTCTCCGGATGCATCTCGAAGGGGTAATGACGAAGGTCACGGATGGGCTTGTTTCCAGCGAACTCGTTGATCGTAAGAGAACTCTTCCTCCAGACGAACTCCTCGCCGTTGAAAGCCATGACTTTGACTGACAGGACGAGCTGCTTGACACCATCATTAGTGTCGTACTCGGTACCATCCACCTTGGCAATGAACTCGGAGTTCATTCCGTAGCTGTAGACTGTAGAGTCCTTGGGGAACAAAGTCCAGGCGGTACGGAAGTCAATGAGACCCTTGTCAACCAAATTTCGTCGCTTGATTTTGAGATCGCGGAAGATCTCATCAATAACTCTGAGAAGAAGTTGCAGGTATCCCTTGAGCGGATCGCCCTGCTTGGTGTTGCGATACAAGACTCGGATCTCATCTTGACAGAACCACAGAGGGCGGAAGGGCTCTTTGAACATGGCGGCATCACAGACATCGAGATGGAGGTTCTCCTCCTTCTTCAGAATAGGCTCGATTGCACTGACAAGAAGAGGGTTTTGGACATCGACTTGGTGGTACTTGAGAGGGTATCGGCCTGAGATAGCGCCCTTCTGCATGTCTTTGATCTTGTACACTTTGATGGCAGCACAGTCTCGTGTCTTGGTAATGGCGGTGGACACTTGCTTGGGTGGGTAGGTTTGCCAGTCCCAATTATTCCTCGTAGGATCCGAGCGCTTTCCCTCGTAGAGGGTATAAATGAAGGTGTCGGCACCAAAAGATGGATCTTTGAGGTTGATCTCGCCGGGCTCCTCCTCCTTGTACCCTTTCTCGAGATCAAGTGGCTCATCGAGAGGAGATTTCTTGCGGTGGAGGAACTTGTGCTTCCATTTCCAAGTCATGTCTGAAATGTTGTCGCCAACTTTCTCGAGCTTTTCATACATTATTAACACAGTTTTTAGAAAGCACCCAAGGTACTCGTCAAGTTCGGAGTCGGTGATAGAGTTGACTGGCATAGGGGGAAGCCCAGGAGGTGGAGGGGGGGACGTATTTGACGATGGATGAGGTGCCTCCATGGTTAAAGTTCAAAAACGTCCTAGCCCTCAGTGGAGAGTAAAAGATAAAACAAGCCTGGGCCAGGAGTACAGTAAACAAAGCCTACCTACTTTTGGCTTCCAAGGACAGGGTTGGCAGGGGAGGGGTCCAATCTGATAACTTAGGACTTGCTGGTGCCTGGTGCCATTGCTGCCTCACAGTTGGCCTTAACGCCATTTTCAGCCATTGCCCGCCTAAAGGTACGGCAGCAGACGAAGCTGCATGCACAGGTACATCCGTCCATGTAAAGGCACCTCAGTCCGCAAAAAGGCGTCTGAGTTGTCGAGGACAGACATCCATACCTAGCCATCCATGCCACCGCCAACTGCAGTTTGATAGCACATCTTACTGGTCAATACTTTGAAAGACAGGAGAAGTAACAGGAAAATAAAGTCTATCTATGCATACCCGCCGGTTGTGTTATGTGCATCATTCAAAACGTCGATCTTAATGGTCAGGATCCAAGTGAGGTGATGTTTGCCGTCCTCCACCCCCTGGCCTAGGACTTACAGCTCCATCGACAGCTCCTGTGGGGGACCCTGTAAGTCCTGACTCCTCCCGGCCGCTAAGGGAGCTTGGGCCTCTGCCTAATATGACCCCTCACTCAGCAAGTGTTGGTAGGTAGCTGAAAGAAAAGAGGCCTCAAGATGATCAAACTGACAGCGACAATCAGGCTCGTGCCTCGGACAATACTTGTGTTATTTTGTCCAAACGTCTTGGATTTTCAGCCCTACTTCGCCCAGCTCCCGCACAAGGCATCCACATTCGATAGCTCAGGAGGCTCAACACAAGGCACTTCATGAGGCAGCATCATATCATCAAGGCCGGGAAGTGAAGTGAGACTTGCCGCTCCATGCGATTGAAATAAAGTTTTTAGATTCATGTCGTGTGCTACTGTAGCCAAATCGATTTACACGCCAGTCTGTTGATACGATGCTGTCAAGGCTGTCTGTCTGTGTAACGTAAATTGCAACTGAGAGGAGGCAGAACTTGAATTGGTTTTCAATATACACCACTTCCAAGCTTCCAATCAACTTTGGGTAACAGAATCAAGGCCAATGAGGATAGCCACAGATGCTGGGCCACTGACTGGAAATACCATCTCTCCGTCGTAGTCGCGGGGCAATGTGTCTCACTAAATGGCCATGGGCTACAATAATGGACAAGAACTCAACAAGCGGGTTTAGCTCAGTTGGGAGAGCGTCAGACTGAAGTCAAACTTCAATCAATTGATATCTGAAGGTCATGTGTTCGATCCACATAAACCGCAAGTTCTTTTTTTGGTGTTTAGCTCGATAAGTGGAGATGGAGACACTGAAGCTGTCTGTGTGTGTGTGATCAGCAGGAACTGACCGACTCGCTGATGTATTCTTTATGGTATTGGTCATCCGTAGGAAAGAGAGTTCTGCCTTTTTCTTCTTTCATTACATGTACTTTCTCCAAGCTGTGCTGCAAATCGTACGTAAATGCTTCACAATCCCCAAGTGTCGAGGTGAATGAAGATCAGAAGATCACAGCCAAATTGGAGTAGCCAATGCCAGAACTGGATCAATGGCACTTCATCCTTCTTATTGCTGGGTCCTTCTTCAAAATGCTGGGCATTCGTCGACCGAATTGCTGTGGTTCGACACTTGCACTTCATGGAACAACACGCCCCAGAAGCGGCCTTTGCTTGACGGACCTACACGTCGCGTCCATTGATCCATCATTGGATGGGCAACAATGACCGGCACAGATTCACAAGCCATTGTATATCCGACATCACCAAGTCGTCGAGTCCTTGTGTCCAGCCGGGTCTCTCTGAGAAAACACATCTCGTGCCAAGCTATGAACTAATGAGCCACTTTTCGTCATGAACAGTCTGAGAGTAGAAGCACTTATCAAGTTCAACAGCCTTCTTGCGGTGAGAATTTTGCTGAAAGATTGACAACTATATATATACTGCACTGACATCCCGGAGATGTGCAAAATCGCGAGGCTATGGGCCACCATGAAGCTTTGCGTATCCGACAGTTCTGATATCCACCAGTCCCACAAAGACATGACTAAATGTCTACCGTCGAAAGAGAGGGAGGCGAGTATGCATGGACCGAAGAAATTGGTGCGAATTACCAGGCCAGCACTCGAAAACTCGGCTAGTTGTCGTTTAGTTCTTTGTTGTGTTGTCGAAGCGATTCCTCTTGTGGAGGAAGAAGCCATGGATAGAAGGATGAGTAACCCGACATC